AAGAAAGAAAGAAAGAAAGAAAGAAAGAAAGAAAGAAAGAAAGAAAATAGAGAGAATGTGGTGTGTGTGTGAGAGAGAGAGAGAGAAAGAAAGGAAGGGAGAGAAAGAGACAAAGAAAGAGAAAGAAAAAAAATAGGAAGAAGGGAGAGAGAGAGAGAGAGAGAGAAAACTCTGTGCTATTATTTTTAATTGTTCCATTATTTATCATGTGTTAATATTTTACACTGTCCCTACATCTAGAGTGATTTTTCTGCCTTTCTTTTGCCCAGGGCTACCACATATTTTTCAGGGTTTACATGCATTCAATGTCAATAGTCCAGAGCATAAAATGCACATGTGTTTAACAAGAGTTGAAAGGGACCTTGGAGGTCTTCTAGTCCAACCCCCAGATCAGGCAAGAAAACTGAGGATGCCAAACTCTGAGTAGAAATCCTGGGAAAGGTGTCAGAATAATACTTAGAAGGGACCTTGGGGTGAACCCTGTACCATTTCAGAGAAATGGCTGTCCAGTCTAAAACTTCCAGTGTTTGAGCACCCAGAACTTCAGGAGACAGGCAGTTCCACTGGTTAATTGTTCTCACTGTCAGGAAGTTTCTCCTTAGTTTTAGGTTGCTTCTCTCTGTTCAGTTTCCATCCATTGCTTCTGGTTTGCCTTATGCTTCTTTGGAAAATACATTGTCCCCCTTTCTTTGTGGCAGCCCCTTAAAAGCCTGTTGCCTATCACACTCTTGAGTAAAGCATGGGGCCCATTTCCTCCTTTCAGTGGTCCATGAAAGTACATCTATAGTATGCAGATAATAAAGTCAAAAAAGGTGAACATTTTTACAGAACTATAGATAAGTTGAGGCTGGGTGACAAGGAATGGCTGGGAGGGGAGGGGCGCCAGGTGAGGCAGCCCTTGATGTGAGTGACATTGAGTTGGCCACACCCACTCAGTCACATGACCAAGCCACGCCATCACATGACCACCAAGCCACGCCCATCAAATAAGCCACACCCACAGAATCGGTAGTAAAAAAATTTGAATCCCACCACTGTTCTGGAGGCCAGTTGTTCCACTGATTAATTGTTCTACCTTGGTTCTAAGTTGCTTCTCTCCTTCTTCGCTTTCCACCCATTGCTTCTTGTCCTGCTCTCAAGTGCTTTGGAGAATAGCTTGACTCCCTCTTCTTTGTGGCAGCCCCTGAGATATTGGAACACTGCTATCATGTCTCCCCTAGTCCTTCTTTTCATCAAACTAGACATAGCCAGTTCCTGCAACCGTTCTTTATATGTTTTAGCATCCAGTCTCATAATCATCTTTGTTGCTCTTCTCTGCACACTTTCTAGAGTCTCAACATCTTTTTTCCATCGTGGCGACCAAAACTGAATGCAGTCTTCCAAGTGTGGTCTTACCAAGACATTATAAAGTGGTATTAACACTTCAAGTGATCTTGATTCTATCCCTCTGTTTATGCAGCCTGGAACTGTCTTGGCATAGACATTTCCTTAGACATTACCCTAGGATCTTTTAGATTTTCTGGAGTGTTACATACCTTCCTCTTGGTTATGATCTTGGTTGGTCAACCACTCCTGGGAAAAGTAACGGTGGTGATGAATTGCCTCTATTTTTACACAGTCTGCCTGGCAGCTGACTGTTAAAGAGTCCAAACTCTTTGGAAATAGTTTTGTAAGTTTTTCCAGTCTGGTGAGCACCAACAACTACTGTATATTTTAGATATCCTCAGAAATCTCCTTTGTTTGACACCCTTCCACAAGGACCATTGTATATGTTTCTTTTCCAAGCCTTCATCCATCTTTTTTCCCCATCTACAGTACCTTCTATTTAAAAGATTAAATGGTTTCCAAATGGAAATAGCATGAATATACCATGCTGATTTAAGCATGGTATATAAAATCATACATTGCAATGTCCTACCTGTCAATGAATACTTCAGCTTCAACCATAACAACACAAGAGCACATAATAGATACAAACTCAATGTTAACCGCACCAAACTTGATTGCAGGAAATACGACTTCAGCAATAGAGTGGTCAATGTCTGGAATACTCTACCCGACTCTGTAGTTTCTTCCCCAAACCCCAAAAACTTTAACCTTAGACTGTCTACTATTGACCTCACCCCTTTCCTAAGAGGGAATAAGCGCACCAACGTGCCTACCGTCCCTGTCCTATTGTTTCTCTTATTCTTCTTTTATTTTTCTTATATGTACCCATTTCATGTATTCACAACTATGTATACACTTATACTTATTATCTTGTAAACAATTGGCAAATCAAATAAATAAAATAAATAAATAAATGAATTCAAGAAAATATATATCAGACAACAGACTAAGTAGCAGCATAAAGCAGATCATGTGGTTTTATTATAGAAAATGATCAATTTTATCTAAGAGCAACTAGCTGAAGTATAATTTTTCATATTAAACAAAATGTGTATGCTACTTTCTTAATCTGGTGCCCTTCAGCTGGGTTGGAACACAACTCCTAGAATCCCCGGTTCCTCTCCAGCGTAACTAAAGGTCCCCTGGTTGAAAGAGTTCTAACACCAACTGATCATAATGTAATATCGGGTAATAATTACGGTTTATATCATTTTATCTACTAATTTGCATTTGGGCCATTCCCTGACCTTTCATTAAGATCTTGTTCTGTTTTTTTTTTTCCCTTCCTCTGACATTTCCACAAGGTGCCATGAAGCAAATCTTAATGGACGATATTACAAGAAAGGGGCATACTCCGGTCCCTTTGATAATGGAGTGGTTTGGTCAACCTGGCGAGGCCTGTGGTATTCCCTGAAATATACAGCTATGAAAATCAGGTTCCAGTCCTTTCTGGATGGAGAGAGTGGAAATGGTGAAATCAACTGAGATTTTTTTTCAGGCATGTTTGATAAAAGAGAAGAAGGCATGCCAAAATTACTGTATATGTGGTCCTTGGCTTGAGACTTAGCATGCTGAAACAAACCTTACAGTAAGGAGCAAAATTAGATTTTGCTTTGGTTTGCCAATCGTCGTATTATCCCTGTACACCAGCTGACGATGAAAAAGATGGCTTTTCATACATACAGAACCTGCCCTCAAAAATGGGCTTGGGGAAAAAAAAATTCTCTACCTTGTAGAGAAGGACAATCCTGCTTATTATTTACCTTTCCTTTACAAAAAAATATTCAGTTGTTGAATACAGCTTTTGCATAAACTGATATTTTTAAATTTGTTTTTGGAATTCATTTGGTTTGCTCTCTTCCAAAAATTAACCATCTTTCAGGGAAATGCAGAAAAAGAAAAATTGTAAGCCTTTGGGAAGAAAGGATTTTTTATGGTACATAAAGAGAGAATGAGATCGGTTTTGTGTGCATCCCATCAGAGAGACCTAAAGAAGGGAAGGGTTTTCTGGCTGTTGTAACAGATCGAAAGAATGTTAGATTGGGAAGGCAGATTTACCTGGCATCTCATTGTCCTTTTTAAATTTGTATTTTCAAAATTGATGAGTTTTTTAAATTGAAAAGAAGGAAAGAAAAGTGAAAAGCTTGATAGCTGCCTAATTAAGTATAAAGCTAATGTACGTTTTCACAAGAGGTTTTTTTAAAATTATTGTGAATAAGCACCACGTGTTTAAAGCCGTTACTTTTCAATTTATAATGTGTGAAATGTTACAACTTCATGATGGGCTAAGTGTAGCTTTGGGATGGATGTTCTCTCAGCCTTCTGGTAAAATGTGAACAATTATATTAATTCCTAATGTGTGAGAAATTATCTCGTACATTTACATCAGCCATGTTTAATGCAAGTAAACCAGCAGCAATTGCAAAAAGATGTAATCACAATTTTATCATTGTCTTTCAAACAACATAAAAATAAACATTCGTTCATTGTTTATCAATGTCTAGAATTTGTCTGCTACAAAACATTAATAACATTTCTTGTTTCACATTACATTTTTTCACTTACATCTTCTGAAAGAAAAACACTTTCTATAACTATATGCTAGTGGGAGAAACCAAGTCCAAGTGGCTTAATTTTAAGGAGTTTCTTCAACTGGAATTTATTGAAATTTGCAAATGATATGTTTCCTTGTAGGGGGAAATAATCTTTTTTAAAGTGGATTCTTCTGAAGCAGAATATTGCTTTGCGACTGAATATGAAAGGATATCTAACAAGCTTGGCAAGTTTGTAATTAGAGTTGCTGTGATGCAAACAAGTGGTTAAAGAAGCACCCAGTGCTTGTCCAATAGAATTGAATAGACCGGCTATATTCCAGCTATGCCTGCAACCCACTAACTTCTTAACTAATACCAAATGCAGACCTCCAAGTCTGATTTTATAGGCCACTGAATGCCACAGTGTAGAATGTCATAGGCATTTTCACAGTCACTTAGCAGCCATTGATGAGGAATTCTGAGGATAGTGAAGGTAACCAATTTAAAATGTATTATATGCTCCAATATCATTATCCAATACTGTAAACTGTATATATAAGCATACAGGCTAACTTTGGCCTTAAAGAGTCTATTTCTGAGATAGTTTAAAGAGAGAGAGAGAGAAAGAGAGAGAGAGAGAGACTCCGTACAAGTACATATTTAGTCATTATTTTTGTGCTAGGGTATCATTTACTTTTCCCAAGTTTTGGCCTGGGAAAAGGAATGATAATTAGGCCTCCTTCCCTTCTTAAGGAGTTTTCTGTTAAAGTACACTTTGAAAGTTAATAGCTTTTGCAGTTGCTAATGCTGCAGCCTCCCTTTTGCCCACAAGAAATTCAGCTCACCAAATTTTCAGCAGTCAAAGTACTTATTTCACCTTCATTTAACTCAAAATATCCAGGCAGGCCATACATTGGTTGTTCTGAGTCAATCAGAGCAAAGGAAGTGTTGTCATAGAAGTGGCATCCAGTATCAGATGGAAAGCTTTGACATTTGCTCTTTCTATACTGTGAGGGACTCAGCGTCTCTGCTTTCTGGTGATCGTCCTTGAGAGTTAGGAAAGTAGCCTCTTTTCTCCAAGCACTGGCAGGGTTTAAAAAACGTCCGCTTCTGGTCCTCTTATGCTCTGAGTGATCAGCGCAAGATACGAAAGATCCCAGTGGACGATTGTGAACCAGATCTGGTTTCTTCTCTGGAAGTTTCTGTTTGTGAGCAATATGTCCACCCCAGCTCAATGACTCTGCAGCCAACGGGGTGCTGAGATACAGTTCAAGCTCCGTAGTGCTCTGTGCTGCATTTTTAGATTTAACGCAATGTTGTTTTTCAATAACAGGATCCCACACTTTGGCGCTGCAGGGGATGAATGACAGCTGGCTTGGCGTAAGGGTGGACATGCTTCTTTTCCGAAACGTCTTTGCTTTTCTAGTTTCATGAAAACTTGCCGTTCTTCTGAACTGTGAACTTTTTTGGTATCCTCTTTCTGTTGACTCTCCTTTGTTATCAACATATCTGGGATGGCTTCTCCTCATTGAGGAATGAGCGGGGCTCCGCACAGAATTGGGCTGCAAAAATGTATTATCCATTCTAGAACAGGGTCTCTCACCTGACGACTTTAGGTAATCGGGTGGCTGTTCTGGAAATGGAGATTTGATTCTAAACTTACTTGCAGCAGCTACCTCCTGGTTTTCTGTTTTCACTGTGTCCATGAGAGAGTCCTGAGCCACATGATACAGTTTGGTTGTTTCTGTAAGCCCCTTTTTCTTCATTTCTTTCAACTGCTGCTGGGCAAGGCGATAGCTGTAAATGGGAGGGATGATTTTTTGAGCGCTGGACTGCAAATTGTCATGAACTAATCCTCCTCCATCTTCAGGGACCGAATGAAGGCTTCTCCTGAAGTTCAAGGTTATGTCAGAAGCTTCTCCTGGGGGAAAACAAGAAGTTTCTCCCTCAGAAAAGCTTTCTTGTTGACGTCTGTCTGGACAAATATCCTCTTCATCAGAATTTTTTTGGAAGCCAGATGAATGAGGAGAGTCACAGTTAACTGGATTGCTGCACTTCTGGGTTCTGCAAAGCTTTCGCCATAAGGTGATAAGGATGGTGGCAAAGATGATAGACAAGCATAATGATATCCCAGTGATAGTTATTAGATTATTGGCAGCTCTTTCTCCTTCCGTTTCAGGAGACAATGGTCTGAGGAGGCCAGTTGTGGTGACTGAAACAAAGAGCAAAGACATCAGATAATGAACAGTTTATAAGTGCCAATCAACCCCCCCAAAAAAGCTTACTGTTTCTCACTCTATGGCCTTAACGAACTTTGTAAACTACTTCAGCATTGGCTTCCTGATATTACTGCATGCCAGAACTTCACTAGCTGAAATGCAATCTTTTAACCAGACTGATTTCTGATGCTTGGATATATGTAGCTTTGTAGTCACTGCTTTTTACTCAGATGTGGCGTTGGAGCTGGCCCAAAATAAGTTTGGAGCCAATTTTCCCTCTTTCACAACTAAAATTTATTGCACAATTAAAACATAGCACAAATGTGTGCTATTTGTACAGAAGTGACAGCCTCATTCAAAATGGCTGATCTAGCATTCAGGAAACAAGGCATTTATTGTAAAAAAACAACAACCTACTTTACTGGGACATTTTGGAGCTGCTCTTTGTGTTCGTGATTTTGTGAAACATTTTTGAGATATGTAAATTAAGACTGCATAAAAGAAATACGCGTGCCATCTCAACTTAATTTGGGCCCACATAATGCTCTGTTGACCAGGAAGTGGACAACACCAAACAAAGAAATATTCTCTCTAAAGTAGTCAACTTTGTTTTGAGACAGCAAGCTCTGTATCAACCTAAATCTTTTAGCTTGACATGCTATGGGTAGCAATTCCAAATAGGGCTTATCCTGGGTTTCTTAGGAACTTTGTAATCCTGGAGATAAGGTTAAAAACTGTTAAAGACCATGTATTTGCATAGCTGTCAGTCAAGAATAATTTTATGACATCAATTGGTCAATAGGTCTACCTGTTGTAAGGATATGGATCTCAATATGTAAACAACATATGGGCAACCTTTCCCAACCTGATGCTCTCTAGATCAGAGGTGTAAAACTGGTGGCCCAGTCATGTGCAGGCCACGCCCACCCCAGCTCAGCAAAGGGAAAAACGTTGCAATACATCACATGACGCCATGGGTTTGATACCCTTGCTCCACATATATATACTTGCAATTTATAAAATTTCCAGTGCATGTACAAATATTATACCACATTTTCACTGGACTCAAGGTGGCCTTAAATGGCAGTACCCTGGGAAATGTTGATTACATGAGTACATTCAAGTGTGCCAGTCAGACACAGCTCTATACTTGGGTTTCCTTCCCTCAATCCCGCCTGCCATAAATTTCCATGCTGTAGTCTCCAGACAATATATTGGGCAGAGAGATCTCTTGAACACATACAAAAATAATGCAAAGTTGTATAGACTATAGAGTTTTTGAAACATCAAGCTTACATACTGGGGCATTCTTCTAAAGAACATGGAGAAGTTTCTTGTTGCCTTCCTGGGCAACCTTGCATCATGTGGACTGGGAAAGGCATAAGGCATTCCCGAAAGCGCTCACGAATGCCACCTCCACAAGTGGCACTACACGAACTCCAGGCTTGCCAAGTGCTCCAGGATCCTCCTAGGAGTACATAAATTACATTACTGTAGGGAAACGTTCTTGAAAGCTATCAACCATCCTGCACAAAAAGCAAGACAGATTAATTTATTACTTCTAGAGAGTAGATGGATTCAAATTCCTTGTGGAAATTGAAATTATGTCCCCTCCCCCCAAAAATACAGGTCGTCCTTGATTTACAACCACAATTGAGCCCAACATTTATGTTGTTACGCAAGACATTTGTTAAGTTTGCCCCATTTTTACGACCTTTCTTGCCTTAATTGTTAAGTAAATCACTGCA